CGCCTCAGCCAGCCCAGGGCAAGCACCAGAGCGGCAGCTGGGGCCGAGCGGCAGCCCCACCTGTAAAGCACAAACAGAGGAAGGTTTAGTTATGTGCTTGGTTAATATTTACAGCCACTGAAGGTGGTGTTCAGATGTGTAAACTTGAGACGAAAATAAGAGACGGGGCTGCACTAGCCAAGCAGAGCCAAAATAAAACAGGTTGGATTGGAGTTTTTATTCCAAATTGACATCTTTCTGGAGGACGGTGTGGCAGCTCACCATATAAACTGCAAGAATAAATAAATATGGACATGGTTATGCACCTGTTTAGCCTCTAGAGACCAATGATTTGTGGGACCATATGTTGAACAAAATGAGACTGTTCGTTGATAACTGAAAATGTGGTGACCCTTCACAAAATGGATATTAAAAATATTAAGTAAATGGTACATTTTAATTATAGAGTAAAGAGGCTGTTTTCCACCATTAAAAGACTGCAGCTGTCAGGCAGAATTGATCCTATGAGAGAAGGTACCATTTATTTGATCGAGACCTTGGTAAATGACACCCCAAATGATCTTTAGCCTCGCAGACAAACATGTTCAGTTCAGACTTGGGTTTCACCACGAAGCTTCAGCATCTTTGCCTTTCAGACAATACAAACATCAGGCGTGTTCCTCATGTAGTGCAGGGCTTGTCTGTTGGTTGTTGCTTTTGTTTTAATCTGCTTGGCAGTATTTAAAATTCAAGTGAAGTATTATTAGATGGGAAACTGTAAATGCTGGAGTTTGGAATTGGTAGCCAGCACGTTTGTTACTCTTTTGGCCACGGGTACAGAGTTGCATAATCACCGCAGTTTTCCATCGTCTCTGTCAGCACAGACAGGGCTTGCGGGCGCCTTCCCGAGCTCCAGCAGGAGCCGAGCACTCTCCCGAGGCCGTGCCAACTTGCTTGAGGAAATTAAGAGACAGGGAGCACGGGGTCACCAGCAGAAAGGCCCAGGGTCTCACACATGTGCGCTACATCTGAGGCAGTGGAGAGGAACCGCAGGCAGTTTGGGCAGCCTCCTTCTTGCCTACTGTGATCTGGCTGCAGGACAAATGTGTGAAGGAAGGCGAAGCGGCAGCCCGCGCGCGTGGATGCTTTCCTTGATCCAGAGAAACCCTCCTAGCCCCTGAGCTTGATGTTTCCCCTGCACTTCTGGCCTCGGAAGCGCCTGTGCCCCGCGTCACAGGGCGCCCATCCTGTGGTGAGGCACTTGCAGCGTCTGCAGGTTGGGGCAGGTGAAGCAGGGGGCAGGGAGGAAGCAGGCGGCGACCCCGTTGGAGGCAAAGGGCAGTGTGGGCCCGTAGAACACCTCCTCCTTCCCCTCCTTGCTCACGTCCAGCACCTGCGGGCAAGGCGGAGAGAACAGCTCAAGGACCGCAAACGAAATGAGAAACCAAGTCACTGGCACGCGCTGCCAGGTGCCAGCGACCAGCGCACAAAGACGGGGAAAAAGTGGTGGTTTGGTCCTTCCGAGGGAGAAGGCAAATTCAGCTTTGCCGCATTTGAAGCTGAAAGGGCCAGTTTTACTGGCTGAGGCTGGGCACAGCGCCAGCGACTGAGAAGGGAGGAGGCAGCAGGCGCAGTTCTGCCAAAGCCCTGGGCAGGCTGCCAGCTCACGGCCGGCTGGGGATGCGGACGAAAGTCCATTTGGAAAGGAAGATCCCAGGGTCGTTTTCACTTGTCACCGAGCAGTGTTTAACCCCGGGGGCAGCAACCCTGCCAAGTACCTGCGGGCTATAAATGAGTGTTTGTGGTATCCAGCGCCTTGGCACAGCACTGTGTGCCACTCTGCACTGCACTGCAGCTGCTCCCAAGGCAGCCCCAATGAATTCCTCCAGTTACAGTTCCGGGGTAGCCAACAACTTAGAAAAATATGATTGCACTGCAACCAGAACTTAGTTTTGACTGTTTCTCTTGCATGATCCCCTCTTTACAAACCTTGTGACTTCTCATCATTAGATCAGCAGCATGGCATTCCGTACATTGCTTTATTGTGCTAAGTCTAACCTGTATCCATGTGGGACATTTAACCTTTGGAGGTTGAATTCCCACATCCTTATACTTGGAAGCTAATGAAAATGTTGTTCATTGGCAGAAGAGCAGAGTGAGGCGTAAGGAGGTTCTGCCTGCCGCTGCCCAGCTGGTCACACCGGGAAGGCTGCGCGGGACATTTCCATCGCTCAGAAAAACGTAGCGAGATAGATAAAAGAAGTTCCTAGTGTCTGACCGAGGATATGTGAAAGCTGCGGATCTGCAGGGCAGCTGCTATCGTTACATTTAATAACTAACCTGGCAATCTTTTTAAGACCCACAATGTTTCCTCTGCGCATTTCTAAAGGCTCAGCGGCTGCATAGGAAACACCTTTAATCTCTGCCCTTCACGCACATTTTCACTTTTGAATAACCTTGCAAAATTACTGGCAAAGACTTTTAAAGAAACCTAAATCACTCACCTGGATACATGCCAAGGGCTCATTTGTCCAAATCGAGTAGCCGCCAACTAAATATATTCTACCATTGTGCACGGCAACTCCAGACTCGTTTTGACCTACAGTAAAAAAGGAAATAATAGAAATAGGAACCATTTTCAACGTTCAATTTACCCTTTTAGCACTGAACACAAACGTGGACGCACTTGGCTGCAATTTGAGCGTCTCTGAACTCGGTACCTGCCACAAGGGGAGGCGAAGAGCAACCAGGCACTGCTTCCTCTGACACAGAGCTCCTGTTTATTTCAGCGAACTTCCAGCTATGCTGAGCGCCTCGTTAAGATCCTGCAGCTTTTATATCCCTTCCAGGGGTCGATCTTGGAAGGGAAGGCAGGGCCACATGAAAGAGGATGCAAAGTGCGGGAGGGCCAGTTCTCAGGCTCCAGGAGCAGCCCAGGAACTTTTTGGCAGACAAAACTGTTCCCACAAGAGTGCCGAGTCTGCTGAAGAAGAGACCAGCCCCCAAACTAACAGTGTTCTGAGAGCGCATCCTCCTCTGCAAAGCTCCCCTGGCTGTGACTCACGCAGCGGGTCCTTGCCTGCCCCTCCGACGGCTCCGAGGTGTCCGCGCGCCCGGGAGCGCCACCAGCCTGGGCTGCATGGCAGGGGCAGCAGCAGCAAGATGCTGCAGCAGCCCTTCCTGGTGACTGCAAAGGAGCTTACAAATAAGGACTGATGATTTTCTCAACAAACTACTGTGACTGCTTTATGAAGCCACATTAAGCCATGCATCTTCCTGAAAATTCTTCCTATGATACCCTAAAGCTAATGTTTCACAGAAAGGTTTTGCCAGAACAGTAATCAAAACTCTCCTGCTGGAAGGCCCCCAGCCCGCCTCTTGACCTGTGGAGTTTTACCTACTGCAGGCATCTAGAGGCAAGGAAAAAACAGCTGTAAAGCTGCACTAATGAAACACTCACTGCTTCTGCACCAGTACTGGCCTGTCAACATGCTGAAGCTGCAGCGCGTCCACTGGTCGGTGTCGATGTTGTAGGAGTCGATGTGCCGGACGAGGACGCGGTCGTTGTTGTAGTCCAGGTCGTTGCCGCCCAGCACGTAGAGGCGGGGCGGCCCGCCGCGCAGTGGGGG